TGATCCATCCTCCTGGTCCTGTTGATCCATCCTCCTGGTCCTGTTGACCCATCCTCCTGGTCCTGTTGATCCATCCTGGCCCTGTTGATCCTGGATCATCAGATCCTGACATGTCCCCGTCCTCTGAGGACACATTTTCATCTGTCTCTCATCTCACTCGCCTCATTTCTGTTTCTTCCTCAGTCTCTGAAATTACAATGTCACTGTTAGAATGAAGATTATTGTTCAATAAAAATATGACATGTCTTATTTAACACTGTTCGTACCAAAGTTTAATTTAGAACAACATGTGTGATCACTGGTCAGATCACTGGTCAGTGGAAGTTCTGCTGTTCTTCTCATCTGGTTCTGGTCCATGAACAAATGGTTGAACCTCCTTCAGTCTCACACGTCCTCACTGTGTCTCTGTGAACTGTCCTCTCTAAATGTGTCTGTAGAGTGACATTAGTTTATTTTCTTGCACATTTCTTTGACAGTTAAACATTTTGAGCTCTGATTGAAAATGTTTGTACAGATTAAATTTACAGCTCTCACTTTGTGTTGTTGTGATGATGATGATGGTGCTCCTGCTGACTTCAGATGATGTCATTAATAAACAGTATAAATGTCAGTAAAAGTACTTTATTAAAGCTTGCTTTACATTTTACATATTTTATAATAAATTGTTTGGAAATTTATTTTTGCACAGTTAACACTTATTTTGTCATCTGTTATGATTTTAACTAGAAACGGTTTCATTTAAATTAACATTTTAATCAATGAATTACAATTTATCCAATAGTTGTCAGGCTACAATCAACTCAGTTATCAGGTACTTGGTTGCCATAAAAAAACGACAAATACAACAATTATATTCAGTCTCTCTTGTAAATGAGTCCTCGTGGCTCAATGGGACGAACCTGTTTAAATAAAGGTTGAATTAATATCTTCTATAGAAATCAAGAATTCATCCAGATGATCTGAGGTAAGCTGGAGCAGATCTGAACTGCTGGAGGACAAGGTGGAGCATTCTCATGCAGAGAACATCAGAAACAGCTTTATAACAGGTGTTACTCTGATCTTTTTTAACGTGTGTAACGTTATAAAACACTGACATGGCTATATTGATCATTGTATTGCATATACATTATTTTTCTAACAAATATGTGTTTGCAGTCTCGTTTCCTTCTAAAATTTAATGATAAATGTATCAGCTGCTTCTAAAAATGCTTTGATAAAATGCATAGTCTGTGAAATAATCAATAATCAGTTCAGTAATCAGTTCGTTACTGCTCAATAATTACTGAAAGACGTCAGGTAAAGTAAGAAAAGTCGATTTTTGTGTTATGTTGCGCCAGCAGCCGCTCAAACTGACTGACAGCGATGAGCTGTTTGGAACTATGGGGAGCTGCATGAACCACGTGACCGCGTATCGGCGAGTTCAAAGAGTGTCGCAACTCTCTCTTTACAGGGCTCTGTTAATAACAAAATACTGCAATAAAAAATTAAAATGTCCTTTTGCGAATGATTTGTTGCACACTCACAGGCTTTGTGAAAAAAAAAATTTAGGCAAAGATCAAAGAACATTTCCAAATTTATCAATTAACAAGAACTTTACAACATTCAGATTAAAGGTACTCATGGCAGACTTTGAAAACTGCTGAGAATTTGGTAGTGTTTACAATTTACAGTATTGAGCAATTCTGAAGTGTGGGTTCTCATTTAATGTACCACAAACCAAGCTAAATCTGCAGTAAGTTTATCTGCAGAAGCAAATCAACAAATCTGAGCCCAAATATGTACAAATGCACCAGAACTTTCAGGCTCCTCCATGATCATCCCACGTGGCTCCTTCATGGCCATCAGAATTGTTGACCTATTTTCAGTCACTTTGGTTGTTTTTGTAGCTAAATGTGGTAGTTAGCAGCTGCTCACAAATTATTTTATAGACACATTACCGTCAACATGAAATAATTGTGCCGATTTAGTATTACATTATAAATTTCTTTTGACTGGTCTTCATGTAATAATTTCATCAGCAATTTCAAAGTTATTTTCTTGAACTGGACCAGAGGAAAGCTGAGGTACTGTATGAACTGTGACAATCAGCATAAAAAATAAAAACGCTAAAGTGTCTGCAAATTTAGTGTTTTTATTTATTTATTTATTTTTTAACAATGCATCATTTAAAAGCTCATTTTGTTTTCAGTTGTGTCCTGATTGGATCGAGGCACCATCACCGAACGGTTCTGTTCGGTGCTTTCAGGTGGAACACAGAGGAACCAAAACGCACCACTTCAGCTCCTCTGATGGGCTTTCAGGGCGTTGTCTCCTCGTTCCTGAGCTCAATTTAAAGGTGGCCCTGCAGTTCGGGTCTCGCGACGCCCTTTTAGATGAAACAAAGTGTTTATTTAATGTTCGGGCCAAAACAAGGAAGCATCACCCAAACCAGAACCGGGTCAAACACCAATGTCATAGCTGCAACAATAATCATGTTATTACCAAAGATTTCTGAACCAATCAGCTGTTTGGATAATTAAATGTTAAAACGTCTCCGGAGGAAAAACCAGAGAAGCTCTGAGCGAGCCATGTGGTTCTGCTGTGGCCCCGAGACCGGTTGGACCCAGGTGTGTTGTTAAACTACAGAAACCTGTGGTTCTAGATCCAAACAGCAGCTGCAAGGTCAAATTCTAGAATCCAAACCATTTTCTTTGCAGATTAAGGAATAAATAAATTATTGCTAACTGATGTTGCTACAGTCCATGGCTGTTTTTACACCGTGTTAAAACAGTTTGACATCACTTCCTGTGTTGGATCACTTTGACATCACTTCCTGTTGGCCGGGCAGTGCAGCAGGTCAGTGTCTTCATGAGAACTTTGTAACAGGACGAGAGACCTTTTTATGATGCCGGCCGACAGGCAGATGGAGTACCATCTGAGAACACCTTCAGCTCTGGAAGAATCAGAGTGCCTGAATTAAATCAAACCAGAAGAAAACAAAATAAATAAAACCCCAAAATGTTTCTTACATTTTTAACAGAATTACTGTTTGATGTTTGTCTCTATCAAAAGGACAAATTTACCGTACGGCGTTTGACTCTGAAATCACCGTTTGTTAAAGAAAGACAAACATTTCTGTATATATACACATTTTATTTTATTTTCACTCACTTTAACGTTTGTTTTTTTTATTAGTTGAATTTTTTCTTGACTTTTAGATGTCAAGATTCAGGTTGCACAAAAAAAAAAAAAAACTTTCTGCAGAGCTGAGCTGTTCTTATTAATATATTATTAACTATGATGGCAAATAAAACCTAAACGTTTGTAACTTATTGTTGAGGATTTGCTTTAATTTAGGCATTTTCTGATCCTCCATCCTTGTCTGATGTTATGAAGGTGTCACATACAAATCGAAGCAAACTGCAGAGCTTCAGCAGCTCATTAAAGAAAACTGAATAAAAGTTCTGTGAAGGTTCTGCGAACTGCCATTTAGAACCTGCCACTGGTAATAAACGGGTCACGTTAGACACCCAGTGAGGAAATGATGCCGCACCTACATCGCTAATGTGAAGTGAGAGTCACAAACACAGCGAGCTATAACGAGAGACACGGCGGCGAGCAGGTTCATCACACGACAGGACGCCACAGTAGAAAAGTAGACGTTAGGAAAGGTGAGACGGAGAGCCTGCAGCGTTCACTACAGGACAAACCCTGATAAAGCTACGCGAGCGTGGACGAGTCTGAGCAGAAACAAAAATCTCCTACAGAATCGTTTTAGAACATCGCTTCGTCAACTCGTTTCTCTGATAAACTGCATCAAGGTCGCCTCAGCCGCCGACTGACGGGGGAAGATAAGCTGCATTCAAAAAGTCTACTCCAGTGCTGGTGACAAATATACAACTAGTAGACAATCTTCATTATTTTAGTCAACAAAATAGAAACCAGAACTATTTCTTTCCCATGGAGGGATGAAGAAGTCCCAGCAGTGTGGAGCCTCTTCCTCCTGCCGAGACTACGCAGCCACTTTGTTGTCCTTCTGAAAGAAGAAAAAGAAACACAAAAACACATTTAATATTAATATTAAAGCACATCTACACAACTTTTATACATGTTTAGAGGACATTGCTCACTGCTCTTTAAGACCAGCAAAAACATCTCAGACATCATCACTTTCCAACTGAGCAACTCAAAAAGCAACAAAAAAAAAAAAGTTATTTAGACTTTAAATCTGTGTTTTTAACATAATGTGAAATCCACCTGAGAAACGTAATAATTAATAAGACATTCAGATCTGATGTCAGCGTAGCTCAGATTTCTAAATGTAACATTTAAAATATTTCAAGCTTGACAGTTTCAGAGCTGTTTGGACTGAAAGTCTCCCGTTTATCTTGAATCTTCTGCATTAATGAAGCTGCTGCTGTGTTCAGACATCTAACAACGGCAGATTTTACAGGCCAAAGAGTTGTGACTCTTAACAGCCCGACACTTTTTTTTCTGTTTCTACACTCTGACTTCCTGGTGGCGCTGCAGCACTGGTTATACTTTAAGAAATCTTTGGGGTGTCAGCAGAAGCACTAAACAAAAGAAAAAAACAGCAAAAAGTTGCATTTACCCTGAATGGTAAGTTGGCAAACTCCTGCCCTGCCTGGTTTCCACGGTAACCTCCCCTGAAGCCTCCACTGCCCTGCGGGGGCCCGAAGGAACCCCGGCTAGCTGAACGACCACGACCTCCACGGTAGCCCATGCCCCCGCGGCCGCGGTAACCTCCACGGCCTCGATTCTGTCGCAGAGGGATGCCGAAGGTCTCTGCGTTCATCCTCCTCTCCTCAGCCCAGGTCTGTCGGCGCTCCCTGCAGGACGAAGAGGAGAACCGTTCGTTTGCATCGCTGTGCCGGGCTGCAGAACTCTAACCAGTGTGCAGCATAATCCAACCTAATCAGGTTAAAGTCTTATCTGCGTTTAATCTTCATCTTAGAGAAAATACCCCTGAAGATCCTTCAAACGTGCTCAATTTTAAACCAAACATGTTTATTTATGTTTACTGTTTAGATAAAAAACAAAACAGATGAAGAAGGGAGCAACACATCTGGATACTTGACCTCTGAATGTCTGTTGGCTTCTTAGATAAATAACGTTATTAACTTTAAAGTAACATATCCTATACAAGTATGTGAATGTTTCTGTACAGCACCCTGAGACAACTTCTGTTGTGATTTATAAATAAACTGAATTGAAATTAAATTGAAAAAAAAAACACCCCTTTTGGGGAGTAAACAACATCTTGTTTGACAATAAACAAATAACTGGGTGTCTGTAAAAATTCAACATGAACACTGACAGCTGAAAAAGCTAAAAATAAATTGCTAAAGCTAAAACGAAGCAGATCAAAATAAAAAAATAAAAAGAAAAATGCTAGTTAGAAGTAGCAAAAGTTTAGCTAAAAGGTAGTTGTACCATAAGGACAGCTAAAAGCTAAAACATATCAAAACGATTGCTACAATTAGCAAAATGCTAACTAAAAATAAAGGTCATGTAGAAGCTATAATTAGCAAAATGCTAACGAAGTGGTAAAAAGGTAGTTAAAAGCAGACTGAAAATATTTTTTGGTGTCAGCGGACGTTCTCAGATCACCTTGAAGAGAAACGCTCACATGAGAACAGGAACACTCACCGTGGGAAACCTGAGCCTCCCAACTTGTCGTTTGCTTTCCTGAAAGACGGAAAATACAGATGATCAGGATTTACACACAGGACTCTCAGAACATCTGCTTCTTCATCATATTTGACCCAAACCATCCTGAGAACCAGCAGAGACAAGGACGGACAGACGGATCCATCTGATCCAATTCTAATGTGAACATATTTAACATTTGAACTGGATCATGTCCCACAAACTTCCACTGAAACCTCTGCCAGAGTTTAAGGCTGTCGAAAGACTTCCAGTCAGAGGAACAGTAAACTTGAATCCAGGAACGTTTGGAACCAACGTTTTGTGTGGACTCGTACCTCATATCGTCACAGGAGATGTTGTCGAAGAAGGATTTGGACTTGTCGTAGTAACAGTTGGGTCCGAGCGGGTCGCACTCGTCAGCGTTGCCCTCGCTGTTCTGAGTTTCTGTTGCAGAGTCCCCTCGGTCCTCGCCGTTCAGAACCTTCTCAGACTTCTCGTCTACGAGATGACAAAAACATCTCTGAACTCTAAACCGTGTTTACATCAGAGCGGTTCTGTTGGGTTTGACCTCTGACCTTTAGGGTTGGGTCAGAACATTTTACCAACCTTTCAGCTTCAGCTTGTTCTGAAACTCCTGGTCGATCTCTTTGTTGAACTGGGCGTTGGCGCTCTCGAAGTCGAAGTCTTTGTCGAACTTCATGGGTCCATCTCGGCGAAGGTTGAAGCGCCCTCTGCTGCGGTGCCCGCCCCCTCGGCCACGGCGGTTAGCTGCTCCGATGGTACCTGCGGGGAACAAGAGGCGGCGTTAGCTGCTGAAACGTGCAGGTTTTAGAAGAGAAGCAGACATGAACAGAAACGGTCTCAAGATGAGAAGCAGGAAGCCGCCATGGCTCGGCTTCAGGTGTTAGTGCCACACAGATGGAGAAGCAGGAAGTCGGAGCAGCAGCTCCACCACCTTCAGGAGAACAAGTCCTCCGAGGATGAGGGTGGAGCTGCTGCCGCCGTTTGACAGGACAACGGAGAGCATGCAGGATGGGTTCAGAGACAGTTGGACTTTAACCTGTTGGACGTTTATTGGGGTCCCTGCCTTCGCCTCGTATCTGCTCTCCTTCGGCTCTGTGAGCGTTCTGGACTTCTGTTCCTGGAACGGAAGAAAAGTTTCAGATTCCACAACCAGCGTGGGAGAAGACAACAGAATATCAGTGAGCTGTGTCTTCTGCTGTCAAGATGTTTGACATGGACCTCTGCAGAGGGCCAGTCTGCGGGGCGGTGTGAGCAGCTCCGAATACAGATTTGAAAGCCGCGCACACAAATTAAGGCGTGGCACTTTGTTTTTAGAAAATGGCCGCTCAAAACGCAACTGCCCAGCTCACTGTTCTCTCAGGGTTCAGGATTGTACAGGCATTCAGGACAGAGACCGTCCTCACCTCTCCTCGTGTCCCCTCCGTCCTGGTGTTGAGCCTTCTGGCTGCTCTGACTGGGAGCAGCAGCGGCTGTGCGGCTGTGGGCGGGGCTTCTGCGTCCCGCTGTGGTGGAGGACGCTGGGGCAGATGGGCCGGTTTGAATCGCCTGGTCCAAGGTGGGACTCTTCCTCTGAGTGTCCTGGTTGGCGCTGCTGGAGCCTGAGGAGGACCAGAACAGAGAATGGGTTAGAGGTCCACATGGGTCACAAGAGAACCAATCAAATCAATGTATACACCACAATGTAGCAAGCCGGACTTTGGGCCATTCTGGAGGACTTCATCAGCTGGAAAAGCTGAGGTTCTAGATCCAACAGAACCAGAAGAGAGTGTGTTCAAAGCACTGCAGGGACATTTAGAGGACTCTGCTGGTCTAAAGCGAGCTTTGAGCTAGAATCAGAAGCAGACAGAATAGGAACCAGACATGTCGCGTTCCAGCTGGTTGTTTTTGTTTTATGAGCTCAAACCACAGGAAGTTGGTTCCTGTGAGACTCAGAAATTAAAGGAACCACTTGAGTCCAGGAACCAGTTCTACCACACCTCTCTCCCACCCTCCCAGCAGCAGGTGGGTTTGCCGGAGGCACCAGGCAGTTTCTCTTTAAACATAAAAACTCTGAGGGTGAAGGAGCAGAACTGGCCCAAAAGGACACAAAGGTCAAAAAGATAAAACATCGACTTGCGTTGTATTTAAGATGGCAATACCAGACAGCAGACAGGAAGAAGACAACCAGAAGACAGGACGAAGACAACCAGAGGACAGGACGAAGACAACCAGAGGACAGGAAGAAGACAACCAGAGGACAGGAAGAAGACAACCAGAGGACAGGAAGAAGACAAACTGAGGACAGGAAGAAGACAACCAGAGGATAGGAAGAAGACAAACTGAGGACAGGAAGAAGACAACCAGA